CCGGGAGAGAAACATGTTGTCATAAAAAGGTTTGCTCTATCTAGCACAGTAAACCTTTCTCTGCTCTCTTTTTTTTACCTATTCTGATATCGGGGCCGCCAGCCGCTGTCAGAGTAAAAAAAAAAGACAGCATAGAAATTAATAAATAGATTGCTATTGGCTATTTTACTTTGCAATAGCCAATAGCAGACTAGCTATTGCACCCGTCCACTGCTGCTGTCAATCAGCAGAGGTGGACCTGAAGTTCTACATCAGGTTCTCCTCTGGTGATTGAGCAGAGGGCGGGTGCAATAGCTAGTCTGCTATTGGCTATTGCAAAGTAAAATAGCCAATAGCAATCTATTTGCAACACCAGCCCTTGCTCAGTATACTGCGAGCTAGAGCTCGCGGTATACTGAGACGCTGCAGCCGAAACAGATCACGACAATTATGTCTGGATCCGCCCAGCTGCGTAAGTGACAGCTGGCTCTGCCTATCTAGCGGCAGAGTCAACTGTACCCACCCCCTCCCCTGTCCGTTCCGCCAGTCAGCGCTAGAGGATCGGAGCGGGGAGGGGGGAATCCAGTCCCTCCCCTGTCACGGCTCTCTGCCATGACAGGATCGAGAAGTGAGCGAACGCCGGTATGTTTTCACTCACTTCCTGATCTACTGAGCCGACCTGTGACAGTCTCATTGTCACAGGTCGGCTATAACTATGAGGTGAGTGAAAAGCACTCACCTTATAGTTCTCCTTTAACCACTTGCTGCCCGGAGCAATTTCTTACAGTTGCGCACACATGATAAAATCTAAATTTTTGGCTAGAAAAAAGCTTCAGACCCCCAAACAATTATATATTTTCTGAAAGCAGAGGCCATGCAGAATAAAAATATGCTAGTTGCTATTTTAAGGGAACCTTAAAATGTTTTTAATGTTTTTATGTTACTTTCATTTTTACAATTTTTTATTTTTACACTCAGCTCTAATGCTATCACATAGGTGCTAAAAAGTCCCCTATGTAATAGTAAATATAATTTATGGAGACATCAGGGGTCTTTCATGCCCCTAATGTCACCTAATAATAGTAATGTCATACTAATTCCCCACTCGACCACCAGGGCATGATGTGGGCGCTTGCTTGCGCTTGCCAGGTTTAAAGATGGCTGCCGCTACTCGCGGTGGCCATCTTTAAAAATTGAATGAACAGTGGAGACCCCCTGGGGACACCAGAGATGGGCCCCGGCCTCTTCCGGTGCTGTGGGGACCCGGCCGCCTCCACCGGCTCCTGGCCTGTCACTTGTACGGCTGATATGTAAGGTTCACGGGCCCCTAAGGCTGCCTGGGTCCCTTACATCACTATCGGCCGTACCCCCCTGACAGCGGCCCTGCCAGGTTAGCAGGGCTCTGTGGGGTCTCACCAGCCTTGTAAGACCCCACAGAGCCCTGGTTAAACCAGGGCTCTCTAGGGTCTCAACAGGGATCTATGGAGTGAGTCTTACCAGTTACCAGAGCTGCGTTTAACATCGATGCTTTGCGGGTCGGGACCGAGTCTCACCATCCTGTGAAGGGCGCATCTCGCGGGCGGGAGCGTGCAGGACTAGCTGGTGCTGACCCCATCTACCTCTGACGATAAACTCCGCCCTCCCAGCCAGCTTGAGATCCTCGTGCGGTGGATGGGAGGGGTGAGGTCTCTTCTCATTGGCTGGTTGGGCAGAGCTCCAGCAGATGGGACGAGTGGATGGATCGAAGAAATGGATGACCTCTCAGCCCTGTCGCTGTCAAACTGAGAGTCCGCACCCCCTGCACCCGCCCAGTGACGCCGCTGGTCACCGGATCTCCGATGGGACTCCCGGAAGCCAGCGGAGAGGTGAGTGTTTTCATAACTGATCAAAAGAATTTTAATCGATCAAAATTTTTAACGATTAATCAAGTAATTAATCGTTAATTTCCGCAGCCCTAGTAACAACAGAAGAAGGACCACCTTGCATTGTTGTCAGTGTCAGAAGGGCCCTCTTAAATTAGTAGGTAGTGGGAAAGGGGCCCCCTCACGTTGGTGTCATTGGGAGAAGAAGGGGCCACATACATTACATTAGAGTCAGTGAGAGAGGGGCACCTTTTAATTGGTGTAATTGGGAAGAGGGTCTCATATCAGCAACCAGTGATGGAGCCTCCTTACATTAGTGGTTAGTAGAACAGCCAGCCCCGCTTACATTGGTGCCCGTGGATTATCTCCCCCACTTGAATTGTTTCTCTCTGTTTTTTTTTTTTACAGATATTTACGATTACATGGTTAAAGAATGTGATACTCATGACTCTTGTGATGGGGATTATTCCAGCCCTGACCAAGAGCCTGTCAAGCCATACTGTTGTGAAACAGATCTCTGCAACTCTGCCTTCAACAACGTGATGTCCCTGGGCACCGCTGTCCTCCTGCCTCTGGTGTCTCTCTACCTCTCTCAGTTCTGACCTGGTCCTGCACACAAAACAGCCTTCAAATGACCAGAGGTGTCACTATAAATCAATGAATAACCCTCCTAACCCTCTTGTCTTGAATTGTATTGTAACTGCGCCATCTCCCTTATATTGTAAAGTGCTGTGCAAACTGACAGCGCCATACAAATCCTGAATAATAATAATAATTAGGGATGCACCAATACTTTTCGAGTACCAATGCCAATACTTGACATTTTCATGAGAACTACCAGGGTTGCAGCCGGGACCTGGCTCTGGCGCTCCACCACTGTCCTGAAATCATTAGTCTGTATTGTTTTAGAAAAACTGTCACATGACAATAAACAAAAATGTATCAGTACTTGTATCTGTGAGTACTTGGGCAAGTATCAGTACTCGTACTCGCAAAACTGGTATCAGTGCATCACTTATATATATTTATTAAAACAAAATCCTACATTAAAACAGAGATGTACAAATCCCAGGAGCTCCGTGTGCTCCTTACAAATGACAGCTGCCTCCTAACTTTTGAATTTTTCTCTAGTCTAGTCCTGGAGCTGGAAAAGTATCTTTACTTGTCCTTGTACCGAGTACTGTACTTGGGATCGGTGCATCTCTAATAATAATCTTCCTGTTTTGTATATCTGGGCAAACTGTTGTCATCCAGCGATCAAAGAGCATACTGGCAAATGTAGCTCCTCAACCAGTGGAGATCCACATCCTGTCCATGGCTGGGCTTTTATAACTTACTGGTGTTGCGACAGTCTGTCTGCGGTCGATCTATTGTAACTTCCTGCACCACCATATTGGGAATACCAACACTAAGCATTTGTGTTGCCTTTTCACTGATTGTTAACATTAACAAATAAAGCTTGTTGAATTTGTCATGGTTTAATAGGTGTTAATGAAATTTTGTAAAGAGGCCCCGTTCACCAACTTAAAACAGAAAAGATTCACTGAAAAATCAAGTATTTTAAATGTTTACTTGCTGAAATGTCTTTCCTTAAATGGTTTTCTCATTAATTTGCATTGTGGCTTGAACTATCAAGTTTGACCACTTTAAAAAGAGTAATTCCCCTAACACAACCCCTTCCCACCTGACATGCCATATTCCTCTCCTCTTTTGAGAGTTTGTAACTCTCTGTGCTGGCCCAGCTCCTCTACCCCTACACTCACCTCTCTTCATAACCTTGTATGTGAAAGAAGAGGAATACAATAGATTCTGAATTGAGTGACAGCTCTGAATCTGCTGGGGCAGCTGACATCACATGCAAGATGGCAGTCCCCAGCCACAGTCTCAGGGATTTTGTTTTTTTGTACAGCTAATTAACATATATAAAATGCATTCATTGCACATGTACTCTTATGGAGAGACAGGGTCTCATTAAGAGCACCGGTCACACATCAGAGGAGGGAGGAGACAACACAGTGTTGTCTCCTGTCCCTATGGTCACTTAAAGGGTAACTGGACACATTGTTTTTATTTTCAAAGTAATAAAAACATGGATCTCTGGTATGAACAAATTAAAGTTTTCCCTGCATGGTTGGCTTGTGGATGAGCACCCCGGAGTCCTTGAACATGTATGTACTGAATTAAGATGCGTTTATCTTAAAGGACCAGTATAGGAAAGAATATTGTGTTCTGATAACTGTATAGAGTTGATCCATAAAATGATAGAATTCAGTATATGAATTGCTGTTGTGACTTCACATTGTGTTATTTTTTTATTCTTCTATGTGATACTCCCAACACAGCATGCTTTTCACAGTTCTTTTCTTGTTGGCTCAGCTGCTCTGAGACAGGCTCCGATCCAATAGCCTGGGGCTCGCGGGGCATGCCTCACAGAGCAGCACACAAGACTTCACCCTTTTTTGGACACACTGAGGAGCAACACAGACTGGCTTAACTTGGACCCAGGCATTCTTCAAACCAACCCACTATGCCAGCCAGCTGTGGCCCAGCTTCTTTACCAGGCACAAGACCATGCCAATGCCCAAGAGTGGTCCCTCATTGGTACAGCATGAAACCACATCAGGTAACCTAAAGAGGCATGTATGTCACTGAAGACAATGAAATGTACAGAAAACCTTACCGTGTAGTCGTGACCTGGTGGCACATGCTAAGTGAAGGTTACAAAGAACTTCAGAGAGAGGTTTCTTGACAGGAGAGGCCTGCACCCTAGCAGTGGGTATGATATCGCCTCAGCATTTTTATTACAAAGAATGCAATCAGTCATACCTCCCTAGGTGGAAGAAGCCCATATGCTTACACCCAAAGTGGAAGCTCACTTGCAGGTGCCTCCTAGCTACATTGCTTCTAGATCCTAGCTTCCATCTTCCCATTGACTGGATTTTCTAGTCCTAATATAACCCTCCAGTAGCCTCCCTGACTGGCAAGGCATGGTTGCCCATGAGGCAGGGTGTCCATTTGCTGCCCAGGCTGCAGACTCTTATCACTAAAAAGTAGCAGCATTTGGGGAATTACACCAGGTCACTCCCCTACAATTAGGGGTGCACCAATACCGGTATTTAGGCACAGACGATGGCAGTCGAGCTTCGTGTTCTCTTCTCCCCGCCGCAGTCTTAAAGGTATGGAATACCTTGCATTCTGGGCACAGGACAGTGCGATCAGCGCATGGGCTGGTGGAAACAAGCCCTTAGGCTGACACCCAGACTCATTAATATCCACCTCTTTAGCAATTCCCTACCACTCCTTCCTCCATCACAGTCAGTACAAAACACACGGTGCCCAACACACGGTGCCCAGGTATGGGGGAGCATGTGACCTCCTTCCATGATGTATCCTTGGACCTAACAGCCAATTGCTTGGCTTGAGCTCTGTCAGATGACTCCAGGAATTTTGGTGGTGGTGGTTGCAGTGGAGGAAGGGGTGGGGCAATTGCAGAAGAGGTGAGTATTAGTGGGTCAGTAGAGGCTTACACAGACATTGTCACTTTTCCCATAAACGGACAGAGCGACAGTCTCTTTGAGAAGGGAGGAAGTGTGATTGAAAACTGTTTGCTTCCTCTACAGCAACAATTAATAAATCAATGTATTTTACACGCTAGCAAAAATATGGAAGAGCAAACATATGAAGGGTGAAAATGTTGGAAAGGTGCTGCCTTTTGACTGATATGACTCTTACTTTTCAAAATGTTGCTGGACACATAGCTGATCCCTTCTCATTTAAATGCAAACAACAGTAACACAGAGACAGAATATTTCAGCATAACCATGTAGTTTCACTAGAGAGAATAAAACATTAAACATTCATTTCAGCTGATACTGCCACCTCGTAGCAAAACTAGTAAAATCACATTATAATATATGAGAATGGTTGTTGCACCTACAGAATGTCTGTATAAACAGCATGCTAACACCTCAATTCAACAACTACTACTCATACAAGTCCCATCTTCTTTCAGAGTTCTTCATAAGTTGCCTTTAGTAGTTGCTGTTGTCATAGCATTCCTGTCCTTTTGTTGGGTTTTACGCAAAGGAAAGAAGTGACATGGCAGCTTCTATATCTGGACATGTAGTTTCCGCTGGCACTGTCACCTACTGGCAGAACTAGTAATCCCAGTATAGAAAGGTGGTTGCACCTATATCTTTATAAACAGCATGCTAACAGAAAATCGCACAAAATTACTTTAAGGTAAATGCTGTCATAACTTAAAATATGTTTTCACTAAAATGACTTGGTACTTTTGCTTTAGGATGATAGAAATTTATAATGAAAGTTTTGTTGTGCCTGTGTATGCCTGTCTTCTCCTGAATATACTGCATATCCACTAATGCCCGTTTCCTGAAGTGAGTGAAAGCCAGACAAAGGACCCTTTCATACAGGCAGATCAGAAGAGGATCTGTACATGGATCCTCCCCTGATCACAGCAGAATGGAGAAAATGTCACCGCTGTGACATCCTTCTCTTGCGATGGAGGAAAAAAACTGCAGTTACCAGCCCCCATGTTGGCTTATGGGGAATCGGATGTAAATGGACATGTGTCTGTTTACATCAGATTACCCCCAATCTGGCACGATCCAGTCCAGCAAAACAGATCTCTAATCCGTTTGTTTTTCCGGACCTGGCCGGAGCGGGAAGCAACCGGGTGTAAATGAATGCTCATCTTTACACATGGCTACCCATAGACTAACATTTGGCATCTGATCGGTTGAACGCAGTGGCTGCAGGGGCAAGAGGAGGGCACTGTGGGACTCCTCTGGGGGACTTAGTGAAGGAGCGCTTAGTCGAAGAAATAGCATACATTTGGGGCCCAATGTGATTCAAGAATCACATGGGGCTCACTCCTACTACTGTAAGGAAATAGATATTAATAGAAGCTACCATTGGATGGGTACAATATAGGGACATGGTGCAATACCGGTATTGTCCGCTCTCTCCCCCTGTTGTTTTGGCTCCTGGATGGTGAATCGTGGTTTGATGATGTTTGCTCCTCTGTATATGAGCTCTGCATGAGTCGTGCGTTTTTCATGAGCCATCATATAGTTGCTCCTGTGATACTACTTCGCTCTCTTCCTGAAGAATTCACATCGAAGAATGGTCCACCCAATCTCAGTATTATATAGCTTGGATGCCATCCTTAGGGATAATGTACTATGAAGGCCCAAGGAGGCTGTAGTAGATACATTTATGTGTGATGCAAAATAGCTCATGTATGTGGAATGCATGTGAGAAATAATCATGCCATTGGGGTGGTTTTATAGGTTTTAAAATATTATTCAATTAATTGTTGAAAGTTTAAAAAAAAACAAAGTTGAGTTTATTCAGCTGTGTTCGGCATGGCACCTTAAAGTCCCAAATCCTTTCAGTTCTTTTGCTATTATTGTCTCAAAGCAATGATATAAAATGAATCTGGGTGCAGTGTTGCATGATGGAGTAATTGTCAGTCCAACTATCACAGCACTCGGAAATGTCTGCTATTTGAAGGGTATATACAGGCTGGTACTCAAGGAGTTAAAGCGTCTCTCTTTCTCATTTCAGAAAGTTGGCAGGT